TGCGATCGGATCCTTGCGGTTGAGGTCCAGGGGTGCACACTGCGATCCGGAGCTGGCCAGACAAGATCGGAGAAGCAGATTGGCGATGAAGATTGGCGAGGAAGGAAGCAAGGAGGAAGGAGGAAGGAGGAGGACGAGGAGGCGGCAGAGGCGGAGGCAAAGGCGGAGGAAGAACAGCTGTGATAAAATCTAACAACCCTCACCTGGCAGGTGGGGAACAACATTCAATCAATGCTCAACGAACTGATGAAACAGTATTTCATAAATTGTGTTTTCTTTCGAACAATGTTCAAACAATTGAAAAACACTATTTCATAGTGTTTTTGCTTTCAATCAATTTTCAAACAATTGCACAACAATATTTCATAAGTTGTTTATGTTGTCAAACAATGTTCAAACAATTGCAAAACAATATTTCATAAATTGTGTACGTGTTCGAACAATGTTCAAAAAACATGCAAAACACTATTTCATAAATTGTTTTTGTTTTCAAACAATGTTCAAACAATTCCAACATAATATTTCTGAAATTGTTTATGTTTTCAAACAATGTTGAAACAATTGCAAAATAATGTCAAATTGTTTATGATTTCAAACAATGTTCAAACAATTGAACATAATATTCTAAACAATTTAAGAATGTTTTGTCGTTTTTTTTTCTTGTGTTCCCAGCACAGTGTGTTTTACGACCATACGATTTATTTGTTTCCTACGTTTGGTATGCGGTATGCGACACCGTCCACTACACTCCCAAGCGCTCCCAGACGTGGTGCCAGCCTACATTCGCCACCCCAAAACCACCAGTCATGTAAGCCATATCTGCAGTCCCATGCAGCGTTTGGGACCGGTACATGTCCATGAAAAGAAACAACCGAATGCTCATGTGGTCTTATCCGCGGACATCGACATCCATGTATGATATGTATGACACCATGCTCTGAGGACCAAAACTAGTAACAAAAAGCTACTAGGTGGAGGCCATCGCTATTAGGTTGGAGGCCATACTAGTAGCAAGAAACTACTAGTACTTTTGCACCAGGACCAACATCCCCGGAGACGCCGGCGCAAGACGGTGCCGCCCAAGACGCCATATCTGGGATCACGCCTGAGGTGGGGCAGGGCGGATGAAGCTATGGGAGGTCGAGCGGATTTCAGGTGGAACCCATTGGTCGGGTGGAAGCCCCATCAGACAGGCAAGGGGAGTTCTCCGTACGCACTCACGTTTGTAGAGGAACAAGTTGTCTCAGTGTCCACTGTGAAGCGTGAGTGAATACAAAAGAACATAGATAATTGAAGGACCATATGATGAATTGAAGGAGACCATTGATCTATCTTAAATAATTTATTGAATTACCTTCAATATTATTATACAATTGAAGGACCTACAGAGACCAAGATCGAGTCGGAGGAGTCCAAGATGGTCCAGACCATCGGTTTCTTGGATGTCTTGCTGTCAACGCCCAGGCCCAGCCTTGACCTTTGGAAGAGAACCACATGGAACGTCAAAACCACTGGGTTGGTATTCGGAAAATCGTCTTCCAAAGGTCCATTTTCAGTTTCCATGTTCATTTTGTTATTTCCACTCCCCGAAACGTTAACATCGGACCGGTCAGGAGGTACCTGGACCGGTCGGGGGCTGGACGTGGTGCGTCAGCTCTTGAAAATCGAGTGGTGCGTCAGCTCGAGGAGGCACAGGTGAAGCAGAAGAATCGTGTGAGGTGTGCTTCAAAAGTGTAAAAGGTGTGCCTTTTCTGGTATTAGACATGTTTGACAATTTGCGTACCATGATATATATTGGCGGTTACAGGATATAGTTCTTGGTTGTCATCAGCTTAGCGAGTGTTTTGTGTGAATCCAAATTCATATAATATACAACATCGGATTGGATGCAGGACCATTCCGTGCAGAATCACTTCGGGCTCTAAATTCATCGCGGTTCCTATTCTTGGATTTGCTGTCCAGGAGCCTGGAAGGTAAAGAAACACAATTCCCAGGTTTGGGGATTTACCCAGTTCGGCAAAAAAAAACAACGACCTGATCTGCAAAACCAGGTATTCCCAGGGGTCCCAGTACCTCCTGTTCACTTCATACACACGAAAGCAGTTCGAATGGTGGACCTCACTGGGGCCAAGAAAAGGACATCTAACCAGCGTGGTCGTGGATACATCTCCTACAGTGGTTTCAGAGTAGATGGCATGCACTGGCACACCTACATGTCTTAGACCGATGGGGGTCCATATAAACCACCAAACTTGGGGATTGTGCCATCCACTCTGAAACCACTGTAACGTATTGCGTCCACTATTGCTCACACCTTCTTAGATGTGAATTTGCTTAACGTCGCATCGGTGAACGAAACGACAACAATCACTTCCCGCGGAGTGCAGTTGATCACTGTTTATGCAGGGAAAGCTTGGTGGGTAAGCACCTTTTCAGCCGAGCCCGATCAAAGGGTGATGTGTGTGTATGTGTGTCCGTGTTCGTCTTCCTTCCATTATACGTCCTTCCACAATGCCACATGATGATGCGCCACGCCTGAACATAATAATGCATCACTCAATCCAAAAACCGACACTGAAATCCTCACCGCTTCGCTGCCGATGCATCCTCACCGCAGACCGCACCGCAGAAATCCTCACCGCAGCACGGCACGACACCATGTTCCGCGCGCCGTCCGCGCGGCCTTCGAAGTGTTGGAAGGCGAAGAAATGTCCCGTGCGGCCGAAGCCCACCATCACCTGCCGGGGCCGGCGACCGGTGGCGTCCGCCGTCGACGTGCGGCGAAGCGAGACGCACGGGTCTACACGATCTACACACGGTCTAAACGACACGCAATACGAGACGGAGGTCTTGTTCTTCCACGGCAGCGGGTGTTGGTGGGCTAAAGACTTAGTTCTTCTTATTCCCAGTGATGTCCTTGTGGGAAAGAATCGAGGGTCAGGCTACGCTACGTATGCATGTCTTCAGACTGCGGAATTGGACAAGGCCGGGCCAGGCTATTGGTGCCGTATACTGCTTGGTTGTTCATTTCGTGGGGCTATCCTCTCTTTTCATCAGGTTTCGAGCTATGACCTGATCATGAGCCAGGAGCCCCCATCCAAGGAACTGGAAGATTGGTCGATCAGTTGGGGGGTGCTTCGGTTCAAGTTTGCTTTAGGGCCATTCGCCATCTTTTGCCACCTTCGTCTGAGACAAGTGGATGTTGCTTCTACCCTGTTGGCTTTGTTGTTTGGTCAATTTCCTTGGACCAGTGGCAGAATCTGGGGACCATTGGCAACCACTCGCGGTGGTTCCTCGCCCTGAACCAATGAGAAGCCTATGAGAAGCCGCGGGTCCCAAGACCCCCCCGCGTTGCGGTGGAGAAGCAACGCACAACCTCTGCGGGTCCCCTCTGGGCCCGTACTCTTAGGGAACAAGACAAATTCAATCTAGCGCCACCCTGGGTGTGATGTTTTAAAGTCGTGAAAGGTGAACATGACATCGTTTGGCAGAAACCAACCATTATTGTCGTATACCAACAGTTCCAAAGTGGTGCTTATTGGAGGATAGGGGTGCCCATGATCCACTCACTGGATGCGACTAAAAACCCACTCCTTTCTGATCCATGACGACCCATGTGCTGCAAGGGGGTAGATCGCTGAGATCAGATGAGGTATTCCTCATGGACCGACCAACGAAGGAGGCTGACCAGTGTCGTCAGTGTCCTTGCTTTTTGTATTTCAGGACTTTGCCCTTCTTGTTACCATCCTGCTTTGCCCGTCCAAGTGGATGGTATACACTAGTCCTAAGAACTAGGAACCCCCCCAGCTGCTCGTCATACCCAGCCTCATCGCAAATCATCAAGATATCATACCTAGGTCCGAACTCACACACCTCAGACTTCCAAACCTAAAGAATCCGGAGACCAAGCGCATTCAATTAAAACAAAGTAAAACAAAGCACTTCAAAAAATCCACTAGCACTGCTGACAGAGAAAATTCTAAAGCTGCTTCATGGCATAGAACAATACATAAACAACACACTTCCGGGAACAAAGGGATCGCGAATCCATCAACACTCACTCCTGGTGCCACATGAGAATTTCACGTCCCCAATGTACCACAGATAGACATGTTCCATGAACGTGTTAACAAACATAAGCTGTCCCAGAAGGTGGATTAAGTTGTGAACACAAATCTGCCATTTTCTCCCAAATGAGAGCAGCGCGGTTAGCAATGACTTCCACTACAAACCTCTGACCTCGCGAAGAAAGAACAACAGCTTATGATAGAATTGGTATATAATCGTCTCTGAAAACACAACTCTATCATAAGCACAACTCAGCTGGCGCCTTCTACGAAGGCCGGCTTTCGTAATCGTCTCTGAAAGATCAAATTGAATTTGCAACATGAATCATGATGGATATAGGTCGTCCTCACAAGATGTTCATTTGCGTCGTCCTCATCTCAGTCAAACCCCTCACGGTCCGATAGGTTTTGACCCCGGAGGAGCCTCAGCTTGACCGGTGAATCGACCAGGTGGTGCTGAAACCAGGTATAGTTAGTGTATAATCCAGCCAGGATCACCCAAACAGCATGCTCCTTTGGACTGAAAAGCCCACCTGGAGTCTCAGTTCTCTCGGAAAACGGGGACAAGATGGTACAAGTACCTGTTTTAACACGGTCACGTCCCATTTTTTGGGGGTACTTGGAAGAGGCCTCAAATCCCGTCAGTTTTGTTGTGCTGTACGTCCCGGGACTCTCGCTTTCACCAAGTGACTTGTCGCAGAGGGACCGGACTCCCTCGATGTATCCTTCGGGCGGCACCAGGACACCGCCAGCGCCGACGATGCCTCGGCGGTGCTCGCGCACGGTGTCCAAAGAAGGCCAGCGTGGTGGAGGATAAGGAGAGGTGCAAGGTTGCAAGGGTTCAGTGTTTTGGTGGTTTTGAGGGTGCCAAGATGTGCCAAGACATAAGCACTATACTCTAGTCTTCCAAGACCATTAAAAGAAATGTTGACCTGCTCTCTTCCAGTGTAAAATCCTGAGTAAAACGATGGTTGTCCGGTAAAGACCATTAAAAGATGGTCGGAAGCCTACGGACCATCAAACATAAACAAGTCTAGAAACATGCACCCAGTACCCTCCAAACCATGCCCATTGCTGCCCCATCTCTGTCTATATAGTCTATGATCTGCTTCCACGCAAGATGCTTTTACACCGCACTGCTTCCGCAGTCCACACCGAAGCAGTCCATCTCCGATTCTCCGAGCTCGCGGCTCTCGACCATGATGGCCGCAATGGTGTCAGGCCCTTCGGCCAAGATCTGATCCTGGCCGATCCGGTGACCGCCCTCCGCACCGGCCAGGTGACCCGGATCCGTTCGGGAAGGTCCACGACCAGCGGTGATCAAGGTCGATCGCTGCAGGTGGGTCTATAGCTACCCATGTACAACTATGCTAGTGACTATATATATATATGCAATACATGCATATATATATATATGACGCAGTCAGTCCTGAAGAGACAATAAAGTGGACACGTCGAGAAACTGGCACACACACACACTGGGCAAACACTGGACACACTTCGCCCCAAACCTTTCCTTGCCGCCCCGAACCGAGGGGTGTCTTTTCTCACCACGTCCCAAAACGCCTTCTTCGCCGCTCGAGTTCTGCGCTCGGAACGCGTGAACTCACTCGTCCTCCAAGGTGGCCAAGGTCCGCCGGGTGGCGCTTTGGTCCGTGGAACCCCATGAGAAGCCTGGAGCCGACCCAAGAGATCGGAGAGGCGACCAGACCCGGGACCAGGCCGAGGAGTTGTGTCCAGGACTGAGAGATGCGAAGGTCCAAAGTCCTTTGTCAAAAAGAATGGTTTGATTGTAGGGGAGCTGAAAGGAAAGGTCCTTTAGCCTTTACTTCACTATGAGGAAAAGTATTAGTCTTTGGATTTCTTAGGGAATAGACTCCTTGAAATCATGGTTGTGAGGATGGGAAATTGGGATGGGAACTTGGACCCCATTATGATATCTAATCACTGAGGAACACGGAGTCTGTTTCATGTTTGGTTTCACCTTCTCGCACAGTCTGGCCTGTCAGGCTTTCGTGCGCTGTGTCAGTGTTTAGTTTTTCAATGGTCCTGGTGTCTTGTTCCTACATCCTGTGTGCCATGGGAGCAGACCGGACGAGAAGTGTTCCACCAGCAAATCACGCAGCTTCACTCGCAAAGCTATGAAGGCTCTATACCCAAACGCTCCCGAAACCTCATATGGGATCTGGTCGAACGTGGTGAGCAATCCCTATACTGACTCCCTCAATTTCTCACCAACCCGGTCGTTTTTTTGATGTTTTTTGGGGTTCCATGTGATCCGAATAGCAGGGGACAAGAGGTCCTCAAAACATCCGAGGCTTTCGGTGACCTGCTGATGCTTAACTTGAACCGAATGACGATAGGTGCAAGAAGACTTGGTAAGTAAGTTCTGAGGTGGCATCAGAAAAGGGAACAGGCCCAACACACAACCCACACAATAATTTTACTGCTCTGTCGTTTCATGGTTGCGTTTTGTGCTCACTTGAGGACAATACCAAACCCGAAAGAAGTTGACCGCCCTGCTTGGTTTCATTTGCACCACAAACTACTGTTCCTGGCCCAAACACATCCAGTTCACCATTCAATATCAGTTTTAAAACATATATGAATTGCGTTTAAGCAATTTATGACACTGTCAATGGCGTAGCGAAGGGTTCTCGCTTAACTTTGGGGGTTGGGGGTAGAGTCAAAATTCAAAAATATGCGATGGGAAGTTGTAGTTTTTGCAACCGTTCGCGGTTGGGTGGCTATGGCGCTAGACAGTGTGCGGCTGTGACATGGGATTGGCGTTCGCAGGGTGGTCTGTTGGAGGTGTTGGAGGTGGTAGTGCCTCGAAGCTGCGTTTTCGTGAGCAGTGTGGAAATCCATTGAACAATGGATCGGCGGAAGCTCTTTGTTTCAAACCAACAAGATTTTGTATGGCCTAAGGCGATGTGTTTAGTGTTGGCTGAAGGGTTTGCAATGAAATTGCTTACAGCAAACGCAATGTTTCCGTTCAGGTTTTTCAGGTCGCTGGCAAGACCACATGCACAACGTCGTGAAGAGAAGTCTATGACGGGCTGCCCCTTTTGAGGGTTGTGATCAAGAACCTCGGGGCGCTTGTGGAGTTTCAGAATGTGCACAGAGCTATGCGAGATGCGGGGCAGTTTTTTCATCTAAGATGAATGGGCCAGTTTCACGAGGGCGTCCTAACTACGACAATATAAGAGGAGAGCTGTTTTTGGGAGCAGCCAACAAGCAAACAATTCACAAGACACAAACCTTGCTCAATGAGTATCCGGCAGTTTTTCGCTACGTTGCATATAGTTGCATATATAGTGCCCCATTCGTCATACACCTGAGCACACGTGTCCTGCCTGCGTGCAATCTGGCTTGCAGTATCACCTGGTGCCCCATTGTATTGAACCTGCCTAACAGGGCCTTGGCCCTGAAGGAAGAGCAAAAGGGAAAGGGAGGACCACCCCCCCTGCGCAAATCAACATGTCCAGCCAGGTGTGGGCTAACATTGAGGCGGTGTTCATAGAGGACGTTGCATTTTCCTTGAACTGGACTTGGCCTGGATATGCGCTGCCCTGGACGTTGCTTGTTGATCAGTGAGTTGGTGTTCGACTGCCATTTGCATGCACTGCAGTGCTTCTTGCACACCACGCACAGCAAAGAAACCTCTAAGACCAAACAAACAAACAAACAAACTGACACACATGCAAACACTCCTGGCGTCGATCCCCAGTGCCACCCCATGAAGATGTCCGTAAGGTTGTGGTGGAAAGTCGACATCTTGACAGTGCACCAACCCAGGTATGCCCTTTTCGCGTTGGTGGACAGTACTGCCAGGGCTGTATCCTGGCCTGTGGCAGCTATAGCCGGCCATCACTGCTGCGTTGGACTGTCCGTGTGCATGGTACGGATGTGGCTTCGATGCCCTGGCCTTGACTGCGAAGGGTCTGAGGGTTTATCCCAGATTTATGGCGCTGGTCCCAGTCCCGATGTACTGGTCACTTCCAGGACGTCCTTTTGGACATCCATCTCCGCGCAAAAGCTGCAGGCGACACCGCCAGGGATCCAGCCAGGACTAGTGTCAGGAAGTAACCGCCCCTGGCCCCTGGCAAATACAAAGGGAAGTCTGCAGCCGACGGAGGCACGACCGGCGCATAAGGAGGCGAGAGCACATCCTTGCAGTCGTGACATCCATCCACTGAAGGCCTGCCCTGCAGACATCTTGCATCAAGGGCCGCAGACTCTGCGTTGATCTTGCATCAAGGGCCGCAGACTCTGCGCTGATCTTGCATCAAGGGCCGCAGACTCTGCGTTGATCTTGCATCAAGGGCCGCAGACTCTGCGTTGATATATTGGCAGCCATCCGAGAGCTGTGATTGAAAAAGACCGCGCGACCGAGCGAACCTGCGTCCTGATAAGGACGGATGGGAAGCTATTCCAATCCCTATAGTCTTGGCCTTTTTGGCCTTGGGCTCATCGTCCATCTCATTTGCATCACTATTGCCGTCGGTGGCCTCGTTGTGCTCGGGGCTGGACGGAACAAAAGATGAAGGTGAAGGCGGTGAAGGTATAGGTTCCTGTCCCACGGCGGCAGTGGTGATGGTTGTGCCAAGCCTGAACCTGTGGGCAAATCACATCACATGGCTGCTGAACAACTGCCACGCTGACGACAAAGGGTGGCCGTGGGTCTGAAGGAGCTGAGGTGTCTCCTAGAGTGTCCGCAAGAGTTTTCCACAAGGGTGTCCCACAAGAGCGTCTAGTCTTCACAAGTGCGTCCCACAAGAGTGAGTGTAGTGAGTGTCCCACCAGAGTGTCCTACAAGAGTGTCCCAGCCCCACAAGAGCGTCCTACGACAGAGTTCCCTACAAGATTGTCTAGAAGAGCGTCATACAAGAGTGAGTGTCCCATGAGAGTATCCCACAAGAGTTTTCCACAAGAGCGAGGGTCCAACAAGAGTGTCGCACAAAAGTCTCCCACCAGAGTTTTCCACAAGGGTGTCCCGCAAGAGTGTCTTATAGAAGAAGTGCCCGACGAGAAGAGTGTCCTACAGGAGCGTCCGCAAAAGTATCCCACAAGAGTGCCTTATAGAAGAAGTGTCCGACGAGAAGAGTGCCCCCACAAGAGTGTTTCCTATACAATAGAGTCCCAGAAGACTGTCAAACTTGAGAGGAGGGAGACACGAAAGGTAGGACAGCGGGAAGAGAAGAGAACGCGAGAGGCAGGAACAAAAATGCAATGTTCGACATGGTGATTTATCCCCTCGGAGGCGACCTTTCGTAAATATATGTTCATATGCACTCTAAATGTTCAAACATATGCTCTCGAAATGTTCAAAAAGATTCTTAGGAAAACAAACTTGCCCCATGGCTCAGATCATCGGTGAGCATTGACTCGGAACATCATAGGATTTGAACTATCCTGAAACCATAAGAGGCTCACGAAGACGCTCCCCAGGAGAGAATTGACGTCCTTCACAACACAAACTCAAGGTATGTATCCCCTCGGGGAACACCTTTTCGTGATTAGAATTTCATATTCACTCTTTCTGAATGTTCAAGAGGGTTTCAACTATCCTGAAATCATGAGAGGCTCACGAAGACGTTCTCCAGGAGAGAATTGATTTTGAAAAATCAATTCCATGGGGGCGGGGGGGGGTCCGGGGTCTGTATTGAAAAATCAATTCGAGGGGGGGGGGTCTGAATTGAGCGATCAATTATTAGACCCGGACGTCCCAACACTCTTCGCAAGAAAAACTCAAGGTATCCCCTTTAAAGGGCTACCTTTCGTGACAATGGTTGGCCGTTTGTTTTCGTGTGTGTGTGTCCACACCTGTGCCTAAGGTTTTGAGTCACAAAGGACGCTACTAGGGGCCCCTGGTTTCGCTACTAAAGGCTCCTGGTATCGCTACTAGCATGCAGTTTTTCAGCGAGAAAAAAAGAGGCAGGGTGCAGTTTTTCAACGCAAAAAAGAGGCAGGGGGCCACAGCTCCATTCCTCAGTCTGTGGCCAACGAAGCTACTGATGTTTGGAGAGGATATGAACCTGGGACGCCAGGTTCACGTACCTGCTTTTACTATTTCAACTGTTGACAAGCTGTCCAATCCTGTGTTTTGCAGTAAGCGGCTAGTGCATTTCCAAACTTTGTTAAACATCTTCAAGTTTGCCGACTTCATCACCTTTCGGTTTGTGCTTCTTTCCGTTCATCAAGTCAAGGGGGACTTCATTCTGATCCTAGCTCTTGCGAGCAACAATCTAAGTGTGTTTTCGCCACAGGGTCCCACTGAGGGCTGTGGTGTGATCCCCGACAAGGGGCGCAGCATGTGCACAGACCCAGATCATGGGGGACCCACCTTGAATGCTCCGTTTGCACTCTTGGACTTCTCTTGATTCACCTTGATCCGCGGTGCTGCATGATACCACTGATACTATGCCGCAGGGCTTACTGTGATCAACTCCAGTTTGGATTCTCACACATGTCCATGTCATGCTGCTAAGTATTCACAGGCCGCAAGTGAGCGCGAAACGAGAGTGGGTTTTCTTGGTCTGTTTGGTATTTTCTTTCTTGCTGTTGTGTTTCGTTTTCTTGAGGCCTTTCTTTAGGTTCCAGGTGCCTTTCAGACAAGGGTGCGCCGGCCCAAATCGGCTTGACTTGAATGCCAATGATGGCACACCCTATCCCACCCTCCCCCCTACCTCCCTGCCCCTGGGCCCTCGTTGCTATCCCACCCGCTATCTAGGGTTATAGAAGGAAGTCGCACTCAACACACTTGTGTGTTGGTGCCTTTCCTTCTATTTCTCCTGTCCCACCTCTAGCTACCCGGGCGGTATAAGACCAAAGTCCCGCCCGCTAACTACTTTCGTTTAACTAAGTGGGCCTCGTAACTACACCTATCTTTCTTTCTTGCCCTCTTAGTCTGCTTTTGTTTTGTTTGCTTTGTCTGTCTTTCTAAGGCTTTTTTAGGTGGCTAGTAATTTTCAGCAGCGCCAATATTGGCGCTATGTGTACAAAGCTTTGCGTCACAAACGACGCTACTAGGGGCTTCTGGCCTCGCTACTCGGAGCCAGGACGATACTACTAGGGGCCTCTGACCGTTCTGTCTACGGGGTGTAAGGACGCTACTAGGGGCTCGTGGCCACGCTACTAATTTGCAAGTAGGGGACAGCGCGCCGAGTACGGCTTCGTGTGTGTGTCCACACCTGTGCCTAAGGTTTTGAGTCACAAAGGACGCTACTAGGGGCCCCTGGTTTCGCTACTAAGGGCTCCTGGTATCGCTACTAGCATGCAGCTTTTCAGCGAGAAAAAAAAGAGGCAGGGGTGCAGCTTTTCAGCGCAAAAAAGAGGCAGGGGGCCACAGCTCCATTCCTCAGTCTGTGGCCAACGAAGCTACTGATGTTTGGAGAGGATATGAACCTGGGACGCCAGGTTCACGTACCTGCTTTTACTATTTCAACTGTTGACAAGCTGTCCAATCCTGTGTTTTGCAGTAAGCGGCTAGTGCATATCCAAACTTTGTTAAACATCTTCAAGTTTGCCGACTTCATCACCTTTCGGTTTGTGCTTCTTTCCGTTCATCAAGTCAAGGCGGACTTCATTCTGATCCTAGCTCTTGCGAGCAACAATCTAAGTGTGTGTGTGTGTGTCACCTCTCGTCTCTAGGGATTCTACCTTGCTACTTTACAGCAGGGGAACTGGGCACTCGGTGACTGACCCAGTTCAACGAAGCTAGGTCACAAAGTGGGATATTCGGACTGATCATCCGAACGTACCTGCATTGAACTCAAACTTTAAGCTTTCTCGTTTGGCAATTCAAATCGTTGGACTCTTCGCCATTCCGTTCACCAAGTCAAGGTCTAATCTGCAGTAAGAATAAAGGGCTAAAGATCACCGCGCAACACTGAAACACCAGGCTTCGAAGCCCGTGGAGCCCCCCTTCGGCTCGTGTGTGCCTTCGGCTTCGTGGGCTCCATCTGGTTTTCTGGCGGCCCCCTTTTCTGCAGCAAATGGCACGGTCCCGCCATCTCCAGGTCAGTTCAACGGTCCCGCCATCTCCCACCCGGCTGTTTTTCCACCCGCCAACAGCCCAGTGGCCACTGGGCTGTGGGTTGAAGAACTTCACGAAGCCTCAGATCCGGGTCGTCGGAAATCCAAGGCATGATCAGTGCGAATCGTTCCAAGAGCTGCCTGAATTCCGGAATCACCGGACATCCCAGAGCTCTAGGTGGTTGGAATCCAACATCCAACAGCTTGGAAGTATCAGAATCTCTAAAAGAATGATCTGCTGTAAAGAGTGAGGAAGGATTACTGAGCTTCCTTCTAGAGACCCAAAGAAGCTCCTGTTCATGAAACATCATGAAACCACTGGTGGCAACCAACCAGCGATAGCCAACGTACCATGTCTCACCAGTTTTAGTAGTCACTTCCACCACCCTTTCTCAGCGGTGCTTTTCCATGTTCCTCACCCCTCATCTCACCCCTCATCGCCCTCCCCGGACCCTCACCGCGCTGTCTGGATGTTTCGACGATGAAGACGCGGACGACCTGTAACGACTTTGGTCTGTCCAAGGACCCTGTTTGGTAACGAAGGACCCTGGGCCGCCTGGACATCCCATTCTAGTCCAAGGTCACTGGGCCAAAGTGTCTGGACATCCCATGACATCCCTCTAGCTCTGGCCAAAGTGCCTGTGCCTATATTCTCTATCTTCCCCAAAGCTTCGCCTGGCTGCACCCTGATATCCAAACAGTCCACACGCCTTCCCTCGCCTGCTCTTTGGCACTAGTCCCTATAGGATGTCACTCTATATAGTCACCACCAAAAAGCCACCTCCTTCCACACACCACTGGCCACACACCAAGGACGCTGCACCGACACACACAACACACCGCACCGCAACGCACCGCAACGCAACGTGCGACGACGTCCCGCCGCGTGGCCGTGGGTGTTGGACTCGGTGAAGCGACGTCGAAAGTCGCCCGTAGCGCCCAACGAGCTCGTGCTGCCGCCGTGGTAGGACCTGCTACGGCGGTGTTGACGAGGAGGAGGAGGAAGACGCGCATCCAGGTCTATCGAAGGGAAGACCGTGGAAGACATCACGTTGGATGCCATGTGTTGGCTTTAAATGCAGGGTGTCATCATGGGATATCCAAATATATTCACAGAAGGATCAACAGTTCTTACACAAAACACTGGTGGGTGGCTGTCATCTCCTAAGTGGTTGGTGAGCGGTTTGTTCTTTGTTGAAGCCACGTCTTGCTGATGTTTTGATCACTTGTGACTCTTTGACTTGGACCTGTGCATCTATACTATATATAATCAGAAGCTACATTTCCTTAGGGTGGTATTGTACTGTTTACTTTACTTTGACATGTCGCCGTTCCACACCCATGCTCATGCTTCTCACAGGAAACAACATTGGTGTACGATGGTCACCCTACGGTTTCTTGCTGTATGTAAGGGCATTATTACTGCCCTAGGGATCTACACACCTTCTCAGAAAGCACATGGGCCTCCAAGCCTACATAAACAGTCTTCAGTCACCTTCCCAGAAGGTATGTCCCAGAAGGTATGTGACATAAGCCCATAGGGTTAACTATTTAACTACTCCCCCAGTTTCCCCGGAACAACAATGTAGCCATGTAGCCTTTGTTCCCCATCTCTTCATCTCAGTGAGGTTTCCCCAATCCCCAACTTGTCAACAAACCCAAACGCAGGACCAAACAGTGCCGACCGAACATCTCCGCAGCGCCCGTTCGCCTTCCGTTCAACCATCAAAAGAGTTTGTTTGACCAGGTATATATTTGCAGTGTACGGTCCTGAGCAAAGCTAGTTCTTCAGGAAGAAACTATGATTTCCATTTTCTGGGCCACTGGCGGGCCTCCGGATGAGACAGGGATTATGATGTCAAAAGCGGAAGTCGCCTATACTGGGTGAAGATCTTCTGCTTCCCCGTGTAGAGCCGCGCCATGCGGATCGCGGCCTGGAACGCGATCCGGGCAAAAGGATGGAGGATGGGTGAGGAAATGGTGACACCTGGTGGTCCGAGACTTCATCTTGGGAAACTTGGTGGAGTGCATGTGGGTGAGCTGGTGGATGAGTTGTGTGATCTAGCTTTCAGGTCCGATGTTGCTTAATGGTTTGGCTTGGAGATGTTCACGATTCGATGCAAGCCTTGCCAGAATTAAAACTGATTCGATCTATGATCTCTACTTGGATTTCGGATTTGCCTACCCAACCGAGAAACATCAAGAACCATCCACTATAATTATATTCTATAGTAGGGAACATCAACATCACCGATGCGCAGATGTTCTGACTTCTTGAGTCGTTCAGACTTGGACTGCCACTCTCACCCTCCCAACCAGGTCCACACCGGTCCCAACCAGGTCAACCAAGGTCCACCGAACACCGGTCGAAACACGGTCGTCGAACGGTTTCGAAAGCGGACCTCGTTGGCTTCGCCGCCGCCGCTGGGGAAGAGGAAGCCGTTCAAATCGCCGGGGCAAATCTCGGCCATCAGCCTGGAGAACAGGCGCCAGGTGGGGAAGTGTGGCTTTCCACTTTGGGGAAGAAACCTGGAGTGGAGTTCGTGCCAAAAGACCAAACAATATAAGAAGTGTGACGGTTGGTTAATACGACCAACTATAAATACGACCAAAATACATCCAAACTGAGAATGTACGAAGTTAATAGTGTGAACTTAGTGGTTTGGTTGTTTGACCATACTAGTCAACATGTGTGTGTGTATCGGGTATCGGCCTATATGTCTTGGTGGGAACCCCGGTCGATCAACAGGAAGAAACTCAAGTGATATGTATGATTCTTTCCTCCCTTGCCTTTGCTCTTGCTTGCACTTCCAACTAAGGACTTATACACACTACATTACACCACTAAGGTCAAGCTAAGTCCATCCTAAGTAGTATTGACTTAGACTAGCTACACTAAGGTTTCGGACTGGCTTTGCTCATGTCAACCATTTACTTTGACACTAAGGTCAGTCTGAAACCTCAAACCTCCGAGTTTGCGAACATTTCGACTCCTTTGGTCTTTGAGATGGAACCCCAAAAACCCTCCCTACACCCCTGTCCCATATCGTCAGGAGAAGGTGGTACTCGGCCCCCCCTGGCGACCACCCACCCCTGTGCCAAAACGAAACGGACGCAGGCATCCCCTCACCCTCTAACCCTCTCGGCCTTGCGAGCTTCGCACGCACCGGCGCCAGGCCCAACCCGCCGTACCTCACCGGGAGGACGGTTCGGAACGAAAGCCGTGGAAGGTCCGGTTTGGAAGGTTCCAGTTTTGATGTTGGGTTTTTGAAAACTTCAGGGACCTTAAAAAGAGGTGATCTTCTAAACCTACGAAATCCGACACTGGTCTGTAAGACCTTCCTTCAGTGGATGGCGCCCAGCTTGGGTGGTCTTCCGTTCTTTTGCTCATCCAAGGAGGTCTTGGAGGCCATGCCATGCACATAAACCATTGATGATTTCAACCGCCCCTAAGCCTGGAGAGATTGTGACATCAATGTCTGCGGGGGCTATTCATGAGTTAGGGTATTCATCAGCTTTGCCTGGCCATTGTTTCCAAGGACACCAACAATATGTGTCTTTTCTGATTTTCTTCTATGGTCTGAATGCTTGAGGGGTTTTCTCCATCCAAGGAGTGGTGTAACATGGTGTAACTAGAGTGACGTGTTGATGTATTCAGGAAAGTAGGTTTTGTTGGGTCTAAGTGATCAATCCCTTGTCTGGAACTTAAGTTATGTAACTTCACTGTATGGATCCATTGCCTCAATGGTGTAAACCGTATACCCATGCAGGCCTGATTTCTACTGGAGGCTCTGCGCACGGAACTGGAGGAAACAAACTATGGTGCTTTAGAGGATCAATCAACACAACCAGTTTGCTGCAGCTGCACTGCGCCACCCAGACCTCTGAAGATTCACCCTTCTTGCTACCTTCTGTGGAGTTGTGGGAACCCATCCGTCCAACAAAACCGACCCAAACACGGTGCGTTCTGTACGACCCGTTCGCATGGAGCGGTTGTTTCTTCTGGTGGTTCTTTCATGAACGCGGGTCAAGAGTCCATAGATGAATGCTTTGGGTCGGGGATTCTCAACAGCTGTTCAACATCTTCAGCCTTCAGCCGCGTGTTGAAAAACATCAGATCACAAACATGAACTCTGTATACATGACCCTATGGAAAAGAATGTGTTTGACTCTTGGGGGGGGTTGTAGGGTTTTGGGATTTGGGGATTTTGAGGGTTTTACCTACACACCATCCACACGTTGGGTGCGCCGGCCATCTGAACACATAAACCGCATAAACATACCAGGACCATCCAATGGTTGGTCGATGGACCACCCTATCTACTGACCAGCCAGGACGCCCCTGCAACATTATGCCCTCCCGAGACTTAACATGGACCCTGACAATGGCCCCTGGAGGATTGTTTTCTTCGACCAACCACTGGTTTTCAGGTTCCCTGCTAGCTTCTTTGGGGTAAATCATTCTACGAATCGTCCAATCCGACTCCGTCCTGCGTGTCTGGGTCACAAGTAAGGCAACGAGTCCAACTGCTGGTGGATCGCCTCCTGTCGCATCACGGTGCTGTGGCTGATTGCTTTGGAAAAATCAACTTTCCCTATATGGATCCACTGCCACCCTCCTGCGAAGGTGATTGGAAGCACCTTTGCGCGGCATTGGATTCAGCATAATTTACACCACACCACACTTTCGGAGTGATGTCGACACTTTTTGAGCACAATCACATCCACCAAAAAATTCAGCTGAGACCTGTCACGAAAACACAGCTCCGAAGCAACAGGCTGAAACGTAAATTCCTCTGTCACAGTGGCATCTAACACCAAAGCCTGCGAACGCCAATCCCACTGTCACAGCGAAGGCAACTGAGTATTTCACAAAGTTTGCACCCGCTCAGAAACATCATTCTCCACACTTCAACATGTTGTGTTTCCATGCGTTTCCACGCTATCACACGCGAACCTGAGACGTCATGCTTTCATCCAAAACCTTCTCCAACAGCTTCCCCCACAGTCAGCGACATAGCGGCCTACTGCGGACGGCTGCGAACGCTATGAGACTCACCATTTGTTGCGGTCTACCCAGATTAGCATGCTTTGCCCCACAAAACTCGGAGCAGCAGCTTAATCCCAACCAGATGGGGGCGTGCCACCATTGAGGGCTGTCCGAGATCAGGATAGCCCTGGCATCAGCGCCGCCTTGGAGATCTGGATCTCGTGGTGGCCACGTGCACATGTGAGCACATGTAGGAGGAGCATCACGACGCAAGAGCAGATTCGGCTGTAGCGCTGGTTGGAGGAGCGTCGTCAGCGTTAATAGATGCAATCTCAACAGCCAACAGCAGCACCGTAGTCGACAAAGCCTAAGTCAGTGAACTTCATCATGTTCAATGGCCTACCTGTTCTGCGGTGGTCCTTCCAAAAAAACAGCAAAAGCACGAAGAAAATGCGCTGAGGCGCTGTGATGTCGAGGCTTTCAATTCGCGGCCTCCAACACAACACTGCCGTCCCTAGCAGGAGCATGGTGATCGTCCGCGCTTGCTCCTTGCCCTTGCTTGAGCCTTTGCCTCTTGCTCTGCCATTCTTTCCATGTTTTGTGTTGGTATGTGTTGAACTTTGGTGTCACAGAACATGTCCTCATCTTCATCCCACAAGCTACCCACTTTCTCCTTGTGCTCCTGGATCTTGCGCTCCGTAGGGGCCTTCCAAGGAGGCCAGCACCTGACGACACAAGCACGTTGAAAGAGTGCCCTTGAGACAGTCATGCTGTCAGTGTGTCAGAGTGCGATGCCCTGCCTCACCAATTCAACCTGCCTGTGTCTTTCACACATTGGAGGAGGAGGCTTCAAAAATGTTGGGACGGAGGGTCGGATACACGGCGCTATGTTTGAAGCATTCCAGCTGCCGCCCCCATGTCCCATGCAACTTGCAGCCTATCGTCAACCTGCATGACCAACAAGTTCTGAAACCTTCAGGAGAGGAACCTGTAAAATCTTTAGACAGGAGAGAGACAGGAGAGACATCCAGTTTAGTGTTGGGGCTCTAGCTTAGGACTGGCCACGCCCCTGAATTCTGTGGCCGGGTCTTGTCCTCTTCTTGTCGTGCTGTTGTCCTTCTCTTGTCCTGCTGTTGTCCTGTGGCCGCGCTGACCAGCCCTTGTCCTGTGGCCGCGCTGACCAGCCCTGGCCACACTGACTGGCCGTGCCCCTGAACTCTGTGGCCGGGTCTTGTGCTCCTCTTGTCTTCTCTTGTCCTGCTGTTGTCTTCCTCCTCTTGTCCTTCTCTTGTCCCTGTCTTATCCTGCTGTTGTCCTCTGGCCGGCCGCGCTGACCCGCCCTGGCCACACTGACTGACCGCACCCCTGAACTCTCTGGCCGAGTGTTTAGAATGCTGAGCGATGTCCAATCGGACGCCCGCGAAAGAAGCAAGTTAAGCAAGTTCGTGTATGGGGCCCGCCTCATACTGTTGATAGATGGGGCGCCCGATAATGTGCCCGTGAGACGCATTGGACATTGTCAATTTGTTCATGAATATGGTCAACAGCTGGAGAGGAACAAATAGCGGCAGCGATATCGATGCCGACAAAACCCATTGATGAAGCAGTTTGCTCTTGGGGGGGAAGGTAGGGCGTACCGAGAAATCGTTTTTGACTAACATTAGTCCAAGAGTCCAAGCGAATTGTTTTGAAACTGTTTGGGGTCTATGCTGGTATAAATTCATAGTTCCCCAGTTCCTGCTTAACAGCCTTAAGACACCTGTTCTTTGAGACAAGTAGTTTCAATACCAGCTACTGACTACCTACTGTCGCACTACATACCCACAAACAAAGGTGCTAAACGCACCGTGTGGGTCTTCGACTTCAACTGCCAGCACTCTTCTCGCTGCCGAACTCAGCACGGTCCTTGATACTCTCTGGAACGGTGTACCCCAAGTTCACGCACACCGCCTGGCGACGGGCGGACTGGCCTGTGACGCACCGAGCCGAGCGTGAGAAAACAGCATGTTACGTACCCTAGGGACCCAAGAAGGCTTTTGGGGTGGGTTTACAGGGTCCAAATACCTTATGAGGAGGCACTTGGAGGTGTTTTAACTTCTTTTGGATCTTTTTCCGCCAGGGCTGGACTCTAAATTGAATTGACATGTTATGGAAATGCTGGTCCAATCGTCTTCACGGATCGGGCACACAATCAGGATGCACCCCGATACGAAGTGGAAGACAATTCCTTCCACCATCTTCCATTCTGACGTGGTCTTTTTAAGCCCCGGACAGTGGAAGATGTTCTGCACACACCGGGCCCCTCCGTTCGCTTGGCATCGCTCTACACTCCCAACGAAGTCATCCATGGGCCAACGAGGATGGAAGCGGCCCCGAAGACGATTTCGGATGACCATGAATTTCGAAGACCAACCAAACAGGTGGTGCATTTCCTCCACTGCCATCGATGATTTCAGGCATCCGGAGAACTGCTGCTTTGGCATTCGGAACAAGCCCAGGTGCCCATCATTGGAGCCATCGGTCTCCTGCCCACCTGGCTAGTCCAGTCGAGGTATCTCTTTCCATTCCTCGGTCACAGCCCGGAAGAAGAACTGATTCTGCACCACAGACGATATAGATCTTCCATCTTAAGTGACTGTGCTACGCAATTCTCTGCACAGCAAAACGTCAAATTGACTCCGTTTCATGTCCCCAACCGTCTCGGATTCTCCAGATTCTCGGCAACCTTGGCGAACAAAAAAACATCCCTGACCACGCCCATCCGCGCCCCCATGTTCACCTGAGAAGCCATCTGCCGACCGCAGCCCGCAGACTCCAAACAACGAGATGGTGCTTTGATCCGAGCAACGAGTCATAGAGGTACACTCCCTCGGAGCGCTCGAAGACGGGCAAGTCCTGCAAGACAGGAGGTGGTGGGGGTGCATGGATCACTGAAATCATCCCCCTATAGGCTTCCAAGAACCATTGTCTTAATGGCCTTTACCAAAGAACACTTGTTTTACTAAGGATTTTTACACTACACCACCAGGTCAACCATTCTTTTAATGGTCTTTAAAGGCTAGGGATCCAGTGCCCTTCTGTTTGAATCTCCCTCTGTTTCAGAGTACTGCATGGACTGTTTCAATGCACGGACGTTTGTGCGTACTTTGTTCATGTGCACCACTCCAACAAACACTTCTGACCCCCCCTGGAAACAAAGGTTAACCACCGAGCTTCCCACCTGTTCATCTTCAATTAATGAACCCCCCCAAAGAAGGTTCAAATTGGTGAAAGGTTATCCACCAAGGTCCTGGGACAGGATGTTCAAAAGGGTGCTTCCACCCTTCGTGGAACATTCTTTTTCCGTCCGCTCTGGGGTCCTGGGAATGCCAAGCAAAGAGCTGAAGGTTTCAAAACCGGTCAAATCGCATCTGATCGCCCTCATGTAACCTGATGTAATAGTCTAACGCTGACGCAAAACACCTTGTCCCATCGAATGTCTATCACACAAACATGCCCAGTGGGAGTCCTTGCTCTGGTATTTAGTATGATTCGACAAAAGGCCGTAAAATGGCTAGGATGCGGTTGGAGCCACAGGAATTTATGTTTGATTTGAGCAAAATCCATCTTCACTCATCGCCACGTGATTTCCCTCGCGGGACCTGCTGGGAGCAGAGCCATCGCGCCATGACCGCCGATCGGTCCTTGACGGGGCTGCTATTGGACCACGAGAGCATCACATGCTCTTCAGCTGCCTGTTGGATATCAGCTGTGCTCCAATCCTCCTGACGCGAGGCATGCAGCAATCACGATCGGAAGCCATTCACAATGTTCGGTGGTCGGGAATTCCGAGGTGCAGAAACACGTCACGGAGAAAGGGACACATTGTTAGACTCACATTGACACCCCTAAAGAGAGAATCCCTCCTTTAGAATGGATAAACACTCTAAGACAGAATCCCATTCTACACATCCTTCCATCATCTTCCCTAGGGCTCCAACCATAAGGTGGTTAGACCCCCCAAACCCACCCCAACCATCTTCTCAGGAGGTGGTTGGAGCCCTAAGGCTTCCCATCTTTTCATCTTTGACCTCTTCGCTTCGGATCTCCCATGAGGTCAGTCGGGAGAGTGCCGCCGCTCTAAAAGCGCACGACGCCGCCGCGCCTCCCAGTGCCGCTGTGAGGGTGTGCCCAGGCTGTTATCCTGGAGGAGGACCACCGATTTTGGGGGACGCCACCCAGGAGGTCCAAGGATGGCCCATTTCATGCACCGGGCGAAGGCAATCATGCAAGCACCTACAGGCTGGTGTTGGAAGTGAGTGGTGAGATTAACTTTCTCTACTAACAGTTGCCAGTTGTCCATGCTACGGAAGCATGCTTCTGCAGCCCACAAACAATGGTTTATAAGCAGGAATCTCGCAGGTTGTCACCGTTGTCACCTGATCCAATTTTCCAAACCATGATGTAGGATGGTCGATCTGTTTGAGGCCGCTTACAAACTGTTTTATGTTTTTTTGGTGTCTGTTTATGTCCAGTAAGGCAACCCATTCTCTTTAACACCAGTAGGGTAGGTTTGTTGAGTTAGTTGCCCAAATAAGTTAAGAAAGGACACAAAATCATCATGTCTGCATGTCTGTAAGCTTGGACAACGTAACCACAGCACAGCAAAAAAAACAACACATTCAAGTGTTGCCCTCCTGAGGGGCATTTACTTTTGACATATCATATATTATAGTGGCAACCTGCAAACGAGCTGGTAAGTGGATCTTGTTTTGCAACACTATTTCACACTCTTGAATTTCAAACAGCCCCAACATTACATACTTTACTACTATACTACCAACATCTACCAACTATTCCAAAGGACCACAACGAACAACCCTTGAATGATCCACTTCAGACCTACACCTCCGCTGCGGAGAACGGCACAGCAGCAGAGTACCCGCCTTACCCTTATGGCCTGGCCTCAGTTTAGTCATACAAATATATACAAATCTGATGAAAGATGTTGCAAAATCAGTTAAGAACATCGCATGTTACAAGCAGAGCCATGGCACGTCGCCTACTGCTTAAGACACGAACACAAGGGAGTAAGATCAGTAACCAGACATGTAAGGGATGTTTTCGCCACGTTCCAGACACGAACAAAGACATCTCATCCTCCGTTCCAGCGATGAGCGAGTCTCGATGTAACGTGCGAACAGATGGCCAAGCCATGCAACGCCCGGCGAACGACCAACGAAAAGCTCTCATCTGAAACCGTAAGTAGCAAGATCTGCGCCTGATCGGTTGCACACATCTCGGCTTTCTTCCGGGATCATCATCGATGAAGGGTGCGAAATGAACACCCCATAGGCGTCCTTTACCGAACAGTTGTATTAAGGATTTTACACTTGCAAAACCAGGTCAACCTGTCTTTTCATGGTCTTGGAAGATCTTGGGAGGCTAGACAAAGTGTGCACATGATCTATGACAGCGGCTAATAGGAGCTCATTTGGTCCAAAGACTTCTCCCGAGATCTCCTGACACTATAGTTCTTGGGATGAAAGTATACCTACCGGCCCATGTCTTTTTTTCAACCGGGAGGATGCCACATGAAGTCTTCTGTGGAGCGCCAATTCCTAAGTGCCTTCCGCATGGGCTCGCGCCGACGCACAAGAGGATGGCCCCGTGTTCGGTCCTCTGTCGGCATAGGCAAAGGGTCATACTGTTCGGGCGAATATCCTGATGGGAGACATGGTGGACCTACCTGATGACCGGAGACGGAGACAGATACGAGGACCGTTCGTCTTCCGGAAATCGGGCGGAACAGATAGGGTGCTTACTTCCGAACCGTGGATGAGATGGACCAAGCAAAAGGTTATACAAATATTGTGACTGAAGTTGTGATATATTGTGACAGCTTTTGTTGACCTGTGCAACATGAATCCACATGATACAAACAGAAGTCGTTCGGGGGCGTTCTGATGTAGAGGGTGAGTCTTCCAAAACAAAAAAGGCCTCATTGAACCGGTCCCTCGGCAAGTGGTGTTGAGGCTTTGCCCGCTGTCATTGTAAAATGCTGCAAAAGAAGAGCCTTCCGCCAACTCTCTCCATAACTCCGCAGCAAAACTCGATCTGGGTGAGTTTGGGAACATGGACGCTTCATTATTCCAAGCCCACAGGCCCACAGGGTTTCTAGATGGCTCGCCCCCTCAACCCCCCAACGCAAGTGGAGGGTCTAGCTGTTTGGAGCACTAAATCTCTCCAATGTGCTGTTGTCCCACATGCATGTATTGCATGTCATGTGTCTACAAATAAAGGCTACACTCCCTCAACATGGGTCAACTTGGATGGGATGGCATCGCCCCGAAGACGATTTCGGATGACCGTGGAGTTTTCCCAAGACCAAACGGATGGTGAACTCCTTCACGAAACCCGTGGAGTCTATTGCGACCGATCTTCCATCTGGTCCCTGAAGGGAGGTGAATCTTCCATCCTTGATTCATACAGTTTGGGTATATCACCAGGGCCCAGTGGATGATGATGGTTAGGTTCCAGGCCGTTCTCCAAAATGGTGATCATTCTTTACATGGTCATGACAGGGCCCTACATACAGTCCGCATCTTTGTTGTAGCCCATCCTTCCTGGGTTTCCACCCGCAGATCTGCAGGCTCATAGGCTCATCTTCCACCAAGACGTGGGGAAACCGCCAAACCCGTCTTCTCCATGCAACACTGGGATTTTGCTGTCCAGGAAGCCGGGGAAAAGGATATGTTTCCCAGAAGGAGATTCACCAATTCACCCATAGTAGGGCCTAGATAGGGACAGCAACAAATCACCTTAAGCCAAACCCGCAAAAAAAACAGGCGCCGCGAGTTTCACCATCACCAAGGGTTTCACCACCGCGCGGCTGGCGTTCACCCATGGGAAACCATCTGCGCCGCTGGTGCTGCTCAACCTCGTTGCAGGGGCCGAGCAGGGATGGAATCCAAGATGCTCCTTCAAAGGAACGTCTTTGGAGTGTCTGTGACCCTGATTGGGACCCTAAGCCCTAAACCAAAACGCGACCATTTGACTGGTGCTTGGCCGGGATCCAGCCGTACCGAGCCGTAGTACTGGTTTGGTGATGTGTTGGAGACACTGAGAGATGAGACGGTGGTCTTGGAAGGTCTGATCACCGTACCTCAGAGGGTGGCAGTGGATCCTTAAGGTAGAGAACAAAGAATTACACTATAGATACCTTAGGATCCATTTCCAAATTCCTTACGAGTCGCACCTGTCAGCCATTGAATGTAGGTTATTTTGGCACGTCAACGGGAACGTGCCAGGGTTTCCTAAGTATCACCCGTGATCACGGTGTGGGAATCATGTCCTTTCGGTGTTTGGTAGATGTTTTGTGGATATGTGCGATCTTTGAAACTCGTCAAATCACTAAGTTCTACCCGGAGTCACAAAGGGGTGCCTATTGGAGAATAAGGGTGCCCATTATCCACTCACTAGGGGCTACAAACCACCCCTTTGTGACTCCTGGTATATGATTTTTCATCGAGTTCTTTGGAGTGTTGTTAGCTGCCATCTTGACCATACTTGTAGCAGGAAATATCTGGCGCCAGTCATATACGTCACACTTGGATCTTTCAACTGTACAACGTGTCTGCCTGTTAGTCTTCTGCATTCAAAAAAACCAGCCAAGGCTGGAAGACATGTTGCACGGTTGAAAGATCCAGGTATGGCTGCAAAACTTGCCATACGGCAAAGCTTGCACAAGTTTCTGAATCCCAAGAACTCAAGTCCTCAAAGCGCGAAAGCGAAAAGTGGCGACAGGTTGACGACGTCCCGTGCAAGTCTGCGGAACTCATTAGCACTTTACACCGCCTGATGGACCTGCACACAGCCTAAGAAAGGGCGGACCACTGGAGTCAATGCGTTCAAAGCAGGTACCAGCAGCTGATCAGGCTGCATGTCCTGAGGTCACCATAGAGAGCTTCGTTGGGCACAGCTCTATGGGCCTCCTGTACCTTTTTCGGTCTTCTCGTGTTAGTAGGGGAATCCACTCCTTTGCCAATCTTTTCATTCGATCCACATAATCGCGATCTTTTTTGCCCTTGACTATCTTCTTGGCTGGAGGACGAGCAACATCTAGAGCTCGCTTCTTGGCACGTTCACGTGGTATTCCCTGATTAAGCAGCTCTTTGTACGATGATTTCCGTTCATGGTGTCGCGCAAGGTCTATCAACTGTTCTCATCGCAGATGGAACCAGAAGAAACTACATCTGGAAACTGTTACAAGGGAAAAATCATTTGGCTTGCTGAGTTCAAAGGCATACAATGCCCGTGTCATTTTGGCATGGCTATGCGAGGCTTCCCAGCAATTATGTGATCAAATATTGTTGAACACATCCAACACTTAATTTGCATGCAACATTTTCCCCTACCTCTCCAATCCCAGGATGAGCTGAGCAAACGGCAGAGTGAGCTAATGAGGCCAACGCCACGTGAGAGCGCCCGTGAGCACACGAAGAGGGTGCAACTGTGGTCGGCGTGCATTGCTGTAGTGCAACTTGCTGGTTGCAAATGTTTTTGTTATTTGATGTGGTGTTTTACGTTGTTGCTTTGTTGTTAGTTGCCACCGATAGCTGGTTATCGTTGCCAGCAGACAACCCAGAAGTTTCTTTGGGGTCTTCTCGTGTTAGTAGGGGAAGCAGCTCCTTTGCCACTCTTTTCATTCGATCCACATAATCGCGACCTTTGTTGC